AAGGCATAATTTATTGTGTGAGGAGTTGTCATTTAAAAAGACTTTACTGGCTTCATATACTGCTGCCCAGAACAATGAAACTGAACATCAGCTCAACCACAGCAAGTTTTTAATGAACTAACAACACTCAACCATGCATAAGTCAAGAAATAAAGATTTGTAAACTAAAATAAGTATCAGAGATCTTGGCAACTAACTACTCACAGAAAGCATCATTTAATCAACCCCACCTTCACCCCAGCCTCCACCTGTAGACTCTGCCTGATCCTAGTTCCTCTAAAGCCCTGGAAATTTGCTTTTGTCCCTTCTTAAACTGTCTGGCAAGGATTCACAAATTGATTGCGCGGATTTTGCGGCCGCACAAATAGGACAAAAAGGAACCGCACCCGCAAAGGGTGAAATGCCGCCCTTGTTACAGCCGAGGCTGAGATACTGTATCCTGACCTTTTGGCCCAAGTGTTGCTCAACCTCAAAAAACATCCTGCTATTCCTGTAATGCAAGTCAATGGTTTACATGGCTTTTTGTTATGAATGTCTGGTCTATGTTTGGAGTCCAAACGGCGATAATTCCACAGCAGATATTATATAACTGTAAGTATTCCTGCCAATACCGAGTAAACCGACAATGCATTATGAAGTTAGTAGATCACCCAGCTTCTGCTAAACCATTTTCTCATAAGACAGCAGTTATAGCCAATATAAAGGTTCACATGGGATATGATGTGATCCTATTAACCTGCTAGAATGGACTAAGCACTTGCCTCTACATTTTCTGGAAGACACTATTCACTATAGGATTAATTGTCATCTAAATGCAAATATTATCTGTGAGGGAATTTGAAGCAAAACGAAATACATTTGAATTGAATACCATCAAATTGCAAATGTGCAATATTTAATAACAAGACTCGTGAAAGCAATTGTAGAAATATATTCTTTATTTTCCATTGTTATGCAGGTCTTATATGCATGAAGGTTTGCCACATATAGGGATGTGCCTCTTGATCATTGACACCCATTGATGCCCATCTCTTCCCGTTGACATCCCCTCTTTTACTGCCCGGTTCTCAAAACAACCAGTGAAACAAGTCTAGATAGCAGAGTAGAAAGATTTTATTTGATGGAATTTAGTGAACATTTAGTTGCAGGAATCAGTGATGCGCCTCATGCTCATGAACCTCATGCCGCTCATGCCCATGTCCTTGAAGCTCTTGTACTCTCCGGGCCTCATGTACATCATCTTGCCTCTGTAGTGGGGCTGCTCGTACATCAGCCAGTTGCCGTCTGTCACGTTGCAGGACATGCAGTCGGACATGCGGTAGCGGTCCTGGATGTTGTCGCAGTCCTCCATCAGCTCGTGACTCTGACCTCCGAAGTTCTCCCTCTCGTAGATCTTCATCTTGTAGGATCCTCTGTGCTGTAGAGAAAATATTTAAGTGTAAAATAAAAGATCAGCAAAAAAACATTGCAAGATATCTGGAGGTTTTACAATCTAGAGAATGAAAAGCCTTCTGTACCATGGGGATGGTACGGCAAGACCTGATGCAGTCCCTCATGCCCATCATGCTCATGTAGTCGGCGTACTCGCCCCTCCTCATGAAGTGCTGGCTCCCCATGTAGTTGGGGCGGTCGTAGACCATGAAGCAGCCGCTCTCCACCCTGCAGGAGTGACACCTGCTCAGGTAGGAAGTCAGCTCAGGGCAATCGCTGCTGGTCTCATACTGGCGACCCTGGAAGTTCTTGTCCTCGTAGAAGATGATCTGAAAGCACACCGATGCTTCATTAGCACCATTTTCAGGGAGCTCCAAGAGGCTTTTTTAATGACTCTGCAATAATGAGTAAATAGAGATTGAAGGGATTTTTTTGTAATGGGTGGATCTTTCCTAAATACCTACCTTGCCCATGGTCATGATTAATTTTAGGTTGGTCCTCGGGACTGAGCTGTGGCTGCTGTGTTCTCCTGTCGGTGCTAACCGTTACTTTTATACTTGCTCAATGTGAAAAAAAGTATGTCGGGCTTCTATTGTGCAAACCCCTGAGCCAGCAACATGCCATAGAAGCCTACTGAGCAGTCAGGATGCTAAAGGGTTATTATCCAGCACGATACCACTCTGGTGGAAATGCGTGTACTGTACACGTGCAGTATTGTTGTCTGACACATAAAGAGAAGCTTCCAACTGTATTATGACACCCAGCTCTATATTTCACAGTGTACTCAACGTATTTTACTTGCCAAATGATTGGAAGCATTTTCTCATGAATACAATTCAATATACATTTTATTAAATATATCAGATAATAAAAGCGAGTTGAATGTTATATAATTATTCGGTTTATGATGATTTAACTTCAACAATCTGAATAAGAGCATTTATGGTGACATACAGTGGATATATCTAGTTATATATAATATGCTATATATATATAAAACTTGTATTATGTTGCCTCGCATACAGCACTGTGACTAACCAGTTCCCTTTTCCTTTTATAGTGGTGTAATGTATCATAAAAACACACAAGTTATGGTTTATAGAGACAGGACTTTTATGGTTGTGATCATTAACTTTAAATGTGGCAGATCAGATAACGGTTATGAAACATTTATACGATGGGTCATTTTGAAAATGATACCTTTTTGTCATTTAGAACTTTAGAGCTAAATCTAGATATTTTACCAACTTTGAACCAGCTATTGGCAACTTAGTCTGACACATAGTAGAACAGTGGTTCTCAAATGGGGGTATGTGTACCCCTAGGGGTACGTGAAGGCACTCCAGGGGGTACGTGAGATTTTTTTAAAATATATTTAAAATTAGCATCCATTCAAAAATCCTTGAAAAATAGTTATTTAATAAATATTCAATACAATTTAAGTGTAAGTTCATGAACTGAATCGTATATTCAGTAGGCTATTCAATGTCATTATCCTAAACAATGCAATCTTCAGTGTTGACAGTTTAATAAATCAGACACTGATGATCTTTTTTTCAACCAAAAAAGCTTTGTGCTGGTTAGGGGGTACTTGGCTGAAAAAATATTTCACAGGGGGTACATCACTGAAAAAAGGTTGAGAACCACTGTAGTAGAACATATGTTTGATGTCAATAGTTGACACTTGCGATCATAAATCAGATATGGACTGGTGGGTGAGGATTATTTGCTGTGGGCTCTTTAGCTGTGGAACAGCAAAGGAAATATGACAATAAGATAAGATAAGCCTTTAAGATAAGATAATCCTTTATTAGCCTCACGGTGGGAAGTGTGCAGTGTTACAGCAGCAAATGAGACAACAACATGATGTCAGTAAAAACAAGATATAATCATTTATTGATTCCCAGAGAGGTAAATGTGAGTATCGCAGCAGCATATAGACAGAAATAAGTACAGATGAATAGAAAAAAGTAAAACAATAATTGAAAGTATATGAAATAAAAAAGACCATATGTACACTTGCAATGCCACAAATTAACATCATTACCTAACATGACCGTTGCCCTTTCGGCATGAAGAGAGCTAAAAAAACACTTACCTTTGGGCCCATATTGACAAGCCATACTTTAACGTAGAAACATAATTCAAAGTTTAAAACGTAGACAAAACGCTGCACTTCATTGAGCCAAATAGACATTTTGATAGCTAGCACAGTTTTCATTAAGTCACAGATTAAGTTTCAGGAAAATGTTGGGTCCGTTTCAGATTTTATAATGGGTGTGTATTGCACGGAATGTTCAGCGCTAGAGTGAGAGCATAACTGTCTGAGTGGAGCGGAGCAGGAAAATATTCTGTGATTTTTCCAAACAAATTGCTCCAGGTCCCACAATTTTTACTCTTCATACACCATTTTTGGCCAAAAAGCTTGGAAATGTGCTGGTCGCAGTAAAGTGTCGATGGAATCCAACAGACTTACACATTTGAGCCGCAGAGCGACATGAACTCCAACCAACTGCTCCATTGGACTCCATGTTAAATCTCACCACTCATTTCTCAAAGAAAGCAGACGGTACCAGTTTTGTATATTGCTCTAGAGCTCACATTATTAACACCACAAAAATTAAAAACCACATCACCGCGTTCGGCAGAGTCTTATCTCTCTCATGCTACCCATATTTTGTCAATCAGACTCCTGCTTTTTGTTAAAAGGAGGCAGGAGTTTTGTTCAAAATCACTGTTTACTGTAACGTACACGCTGTCTGATGATGTCTGTCTCTCTCTCTTTCTACACACACACACATGACTTGGAGATATTCAGTCAAAGACATTGTTAGACCTCCTGTCATTTAATAACCTCTGTGTATGTGTGTCAAACATTATGATTATGTCTCCTCTCCCCCTCTCTCGCCCAACCAGTCCCACCCTTTCAAAATAAAAGCCCCTTGGAGTAACTGTATCTTAACATTAAACTCAGAATTAGCTTAGTTGTTTTTGTATTTTTTTTCCTATTAAAATGTGTACACTGCAATCTGGTCCTTCCTTGTATGAATATGTGGTTACTTGTAAGTGGGTTGGGTGTGGTTATGCATGATACATTGATAATACATTTAAAAATACATTCTTTCAGTCATTCATTGATTAATTTCCTGTTGCAATGGTAATTAAACAAGGCAATACAACCATTGTATTCTCTACATCTCTCTCTCAGTGAAACAGAGAATGTGGTGTACCTTGAAAATACATGCTTAGTTACTGTCGGTAATATCGGCGTGTATATACTGTATATATATATTGCGACTTCTTCGGGCAGTAGCAGCCACTGTCAAAATTTGCTGCGGAATGTTCTCGTTTATACTACAAGTGATCATGTGATTTCAACTCTTTAAGACAAAATAGTGAAATGCTGGTAGAACACCACTTGCCATATTTCTTTTTGTTCTCTAATTTTGAAATAAACCATATTTTGTCATGTATCTATTGCAGTGATTTCAGGAAACGTGTAGAACATCATGCAGAGTCAAACAGCTTCCAATTTCATCCTTTGAAATTCATTTTTAATGTCACGTGCATCATATATGACATAATACATTTCATAGGTAGAAGAAGTCTCTGAAGACCCGGCTGTGGGATACAGTTATTAAAATAACAGCATTCACTACAGCCCAAACTGTCCTGTGACGTACCAGAACAGTTGATAATTCATGCAATTTTTTAATCAAATTTTGTGCCCAAATTTCCTCCCTTAACTCAATAATAATAGTAAATCTGTGTTAATATTTAGTTGATTACAATTTCACGTCTCGAGCCCGTTCTGTTCTTTAACAGGAGTCCATGATACGCCGCATGGATCCGATCCTCATGTCCATGGGACCCGTTCCCATGTCTCTCATGCTCCTGTACTCGCCGGGCCTCAGGTAGAGCATCCTGCCTCTGTACTGGGGCTGCTCGTACATCAGCCAGTGGCCGTCCATCACGTTGGCAGACTGGCAGTCGGACATGCGGAGGCGATCCTGGATGGAGTCGCAGTCGTCCATCACCTCATTCATCTGGCCTCTGAAGTTCTCCCTCTCGTAGATCCTCATCCTGAATGGACCTCTGTGCTGTAAAATGACACATGAGAGAGAGATACAAAAGATCACTTTGTGCTATTTTGGAAAGTTGATTTCCATCTTCAACCTCATTGTTCAACGCAGAGCTTCATACCGTGGGGATCATGCGGCTGGAACGGATGCAGTCACTCATGGTCATTCCCATCAGGCGCTGGTTGTCGGGGTACTCTCCCCTCCTCGCCAGCATCTGGTGGCCCATGTAGTTTGGACGTTCGTAGACCATGAAGCAGCCGCTCTCCACCCTGCAGGAGTTGCAGCGGCTCAGATAAGAAGTCAGCTCAGCGCAGTCGCTGCTGGTCTCATAGGAGCGACCCTGGAAGTTCTTGTCCTCGTAGAAGATGATCTGAAAGACAAACGGCACATTTTCAAAACTATGTTAAATGCTATATTAAAAATATGTATCAACCCATGTGTAAAAATTAACTCTTACTTTGCCCATTTTGGTGTTCAGTCCTATCCCTGATTGCACGGGTACTTTGCACAGCCAAACTCGGTGTCACTTTTATACCCGTCATGATAGCTAAATGATCTATGGAGCCATTGTTTTGAATATCTTACTCAGCAGCGTAGCATACAAGGGCTATGATGTTTGTTAAATGAGTCTGTAAATGGTTATTATTCTAGACTGTATGCATCTGGTGCAGTGCCAACTGCAGGGGCTCTCCTGTGGAGTACAGGTGACAGCAGCAAACGTATCAGCTCGGACTCTTTGTGTGTTGTTGGGTCTGTGAGGACAGTAGTGTAAAGTACAAACTTGACTATTTCAATTTTTTGCTACTTTAGACTTTGGCTCCATTACATTTCAGAGGGAAATGTATTTTTTTACCATAAAGTATGATACATTTGTATTAATGAAACAACAATAAGTGTATAAATGAGTTCATTAGCTCCACTTCAACCAGATACAACAGAACAATGCTACATACACATGAACACATCAGTTATAATGATTCAATGATATAATGTATGATTGTTTAACAATCAACTGTTTTATGGTTCTATATTTTATCAACAGCTGTAAAGCACCTTGTAACTCTGCTTTTATAAAAATGAAAGTAATACTTTTACTTTTAAAATTTCCTCATCATACTTACATACTTTTGCTTAAGTCAAATTTACAATGCAGGACTCTTACTTGTGTTTTTACACTGTAGTATTATGCTTTCTATTATTTAACGGTTATTTTAAATAATACACCAGTAAAATATTAACTCACAAGTGTTAACACATACCCTCTCTGTAGGATGGTGCATTTTATCCGACAACATTGAAGCTAATATTTTGAAGGAATCAGCATGTAATATGTATGTTTACACTATGATTTTTAAATCTATACTTAAAGTATTGGACATGATAACGTGATGCACTCTGAATGTGTGTGTTGTTTGTTGTAAACAGTGACGGTCATTAAATATTGTTGATAAAATGTAATATTATGGGTGACATCACCACAGGCAGAAAGAAAAGAAGAGGCTTAAGTACATAAGTACAAGAACTGATGATTAGCTTGTTTCTAAACTAAAATCTGAGGTCCAATGTTTTTAAGACTCCTGCTCTTCTGTTTGGACGACTAGAGTTAAAATATTACACATTGTGGATTCTATAACGTGACTTTTCAGAATGCTAAATTTATTATGAACAAATATTGTGCACATAATGAAGAATAAAAACTAAATAAATCAATAAAAAGGTACTGCACACTATTACACGCCAAACATGATGATTGTAGCAACAACATTGAGAAAGAAATAAGTGTCTAAGTATATTCACAGATTATGAAACCCCGTCTTAAATGTGCAGTCCAGCAATTTACTATTTAGTAATGTACTTTTTAAAAAGTAGAGGTCTCACAAGAAGCGGGTTATAAGAAAGGGTCCCACCCCTAATCCCGAACCAATGAGGGGTTATTTTTAGGGCCACAGAGGAGAGCACAACAGTTTTCACAGGTTGAGTAATAAACTGAACTGTAAATTGGTGGAGGTCCCCTTTAAGAGTGTTTTTTGTGTCTAGAAACAGAGCAGCGTGACTGCATAGTTCAGTACAGCACAGACAGTAGTTGCATGTACAGTTTGTGCACTGTGTGTGTGTTTTTAATTGATTAAAAAACACATTTCATTTATAATATTTACATCAAATTGCATGGCGTGAAAGTGACATCATGGAGTTTTAATAGCGGACATGTGACTTGAGTTTTTTAGTGTATGAAAATACAATATGAAAAGATTTATGATTATGAGTAAGAAGATTTTTGTTTCATGAAACAATGACAGCATGTATTGTGAACTAAACGATTTGATTTGTACAAAACCTCATAAAACAGTATGTATCTTTATATTTCCTGTATATATGGCATGCTATTTAGCAGGTGTGTAATTTGGAGTATATTTAATACCGTCAGAATGTGTGACTAAGCTGGATGAATATGATGCACTAGCTTACTTTAAAGGTCAGTTATGCAGATTTCACCCTCAAACACACACCTTCTATTTCACACAAGACAACACGATGACGTTTGATTCCTCTTTCGTTTTATTCAACACATTTATTTTTCTCTGCTTCAACAGGAATCCATTATACGCCTGATGGAGCTGAGCCTCATGCCGCTGAATCCCACGTCTCTCAAGCTCCTGTACTCTCCGGGCCTCATGTACATCTGCTTGCCTCTGTACTGGGGCTGCTCGTACATCAGCCAGTGGCCGTCCATCACGTTGCAGGACTGGCAGTCGTTCATGCGGTAGCGGTCCTGGATGTTGTCACAGTCGTCCATCAGCTCGTGACTCTGGCCCTGGAAGCTCTCCCTCTCGTAGATCTTCATCCTGTAAGAGCCTCTCTGCTGTGGATGAGCACAAAGAGGAGGACGGGGTCAGCGTAGGACTCCGAATGAATTTAGATTGCAGTTTTGCTGCTGTTCATGTAGACATTACTATATTCTAACCAACATTTCAGCAGCACAGCAGGAAAATAAATACATATAGCAATTTACTTGAGCATTTTGAATCAATATAATGTTAATTAAAGATAATGTTACTTAGACATTAAAGATTACTAGTTTATCTTTTTCAAAATCCTTCGATACCTGAGGAATCAAACGGCAGGATCGGATGGAGTCACTCATGCCAAAAGTCATGTAGTCGGAGTACTCTCCCCTCCTGAGGAAGTACTGGCTCCCCGTGTAGTTGGGGCGGTCGTAGATCACGAAGCAGCCGCTCTCCACCCTGCAGGAGGTGCACTTGCTCAGGTAGGAGGTCATGTCGGAGCAGTCGCTCATGCACTCATAGGAGCGGCCCTGGAAGTTCTTCTCCTCGTAGAAGATGATCTGTGGAAAAGAAAAACAGAACAAACTGATTTGGAATAGGCCTGAATTTGTCTCTTTTGACATTTTTTTTTACTTCAGTAAACTTAGATTATTTCATGTCCTCTATTATCTTTCCCCACTTGTTTACATTCCTCCTAAACTGAAAAGTGCTTGTTTTCTGGTCTACTCCCTACAAACCTTGCCCATGTTTGATGATCTGTGTTCGTGAGAATCTGTCCAACAACCTGTGGCTTTTATACCAGGCGGCTTTTATACTTTATACGTGCCGTAACAGGGTTTTGTCATTCAAATGATCTGGAAGCTGATGAATAAGCAGCTCTGCGATCGCTGTTAATTTCATTTGTGCCATCCTGATCCAGAACAAAGGGAGAGGGAAATGGGTGGAAGACACAAGGCAGGAGAGGAGGGACAAGAACTGAGCTGCAGTTTAGACATTTCTCAGACTGGGGAAGATTAGAGTGACGAGAAAAAAAAAGGAGTTTGTACAGTCTGTCTGAATGGATTTGTCATGCTTTGTTTGAATGTGGCAGTAGTTCAGACCGTGGATGTCTGGATGACACATTTCAAATGGCTATGAGTTTATTTTAAGGTCCCTTAATATTAACTCTTACCTGGATGCCAAGAAAAGTAATTACTTCATCTCACTGATATCTGTGTTTGTTTATTTTAATGCCAGTAGGACATGAAAACCATAGTGATTGAATACATCTAGCTCTACTGGTCTACAAATGATATATTCAGAAAGACTTAGTATATGGAACAGCTTACAAAGGTTGGTATGAGTAAACTACATTTTGACTTGCCAAAGCAGGAAAACCACAGGTGTTACTAATAAACGTGAACGATGGTTCTATTCTGATCAGGTGTCCCAGTAAGCCATCACAGTGTGACGGTGAGCCAACATGCATTGTACCTAAATGCAATTCAATGTTTTCTTTTCATTACTATCCAAAAACTGCTTACAAACTGCTTATTTAGATCTTTCTTGAGATCATAATATCCAGCTAATCCTGTGAAGCCTTAAGTTATTTTTTTTTTGCAAATGGCGCCATTACTGTATAATGGAACAACAAAAGGCTTAATGAGGTCATGGTTCATTAAACCACAACATCCCAGGTTCAAATCAGGACTTCTTCTCTTACTCTGCATCCTGTTGTCTTCTGCTGCGGCAGTAAAAAAAAATAAAACATCGGCTTTATTCAGCTCTTAAATAAAACCTTCTCACTGCAGACGTTTGGACATTTCCAACACAGATGTCATTTATGATATCAATACATGGCTGCAATCCTCCTAACGAGGCCATCGTTAATGTTGTTAGTTACACCTGAGCTATCGCTGCTGCGAGTTAACCTTTGAGGAGACGACACTGCAGCTTCAGATGGGATTCAACTTGTGTCCTTTAAAAAAAGTCACTGTTGGAGTGGAAAAGGGTGTTGGGCTTAATGAAATGTTTCATTATGTTCAATCTGTTTTAAGAATGCAGAATTTCGCATGACAATCAACTACTTATTTAACCAACTGGTCACAAGACGCTTAACTGTGTAATAATGGAATAAGAAGATAAGACGGTTTCACGGTTTACTACCGCCAACCGTCGTCCAAGAATGAAAGACTGCTTTGCCGTCATGATGATATAATCTCATCCTGCAAGAAGGCAAAATGACAACAATCGACCAAATAATTTCCCATCCCATAAAAAAAAGGTCTTCTGATTTTGACCAAATAACAATGAACGCAATGGAAACAATACACACAAGCATCATTAGGATGGCTGTTGGCCTTAATAAGTACTTTGATATGAGGCCATCACATGTGGACAAAGGGAAATCAAACTTGACCAAACCGTTTTGCTGATATGCAAATCAAGCTAATTTAGATGACAATAGTTTCCCCTCGTCTGCACATTCTGCATTTCGATATAAACCACAACACAGCTGCAGTTGGGTGGCAGGCAAGCAATATCATCAACAATGGGGAAGGTAAGGAGCAAATGCTGCTTTCTAAAGGTTTTCAAGGTCTTTCAGGCAGTAACTATGTAGTGCACGTAAGCTGATTTTTGTCAGGTTTGTTGTCATTTAAATGGCAGCCAGGCACAACAACATGCCATTGTTGTATTTCTTACAATGCTGGGATGATAGTTTACCAGGATCGGTCCGTTTCCTTCCATCCAGATTGCATTCTTTGAGGATAAGAAGTTCGAAGGCCGACGCCATGAGTGCAGCACCGACTGTCCCGACCTGCGCTCCTACTTCAGCCGTTGCAACTCCATAAAGGTGGAGAGTGGCTGCTGGGTGCTGTACGAGCGTCCCAACTACACTGGCAACCAGTACATCCTGAGCACCGGGGAATACCGTGATCCCCAACAGTGGATGGGATTCAATGACAGCATCAAGTCATGTCGCTCTATCAAAAATGTAAGCTCAACAAGTAGATAACAAACAGGTTACAGCTTTGAAAGTCATCATTTAGTATCGATTGTCCTATTCAGGTAATAATATTGCTTATGCATCAGTTTTATTAAGCAGGGATACATTTACCACATAGAGCAGTAGATTGAATTGAAATGGGTAGTAGTTTACGTAAAATCAAGGCCACAACTTGATTTTCAAACATTTGTGGGTTAATGTTTTGCAGGAGAGTACCCAGCTGCAGTCAAATACCACAGAGTGCACCAACCAAGCAGTAATCAGTCAAAGGCCAACAGAGAAAAAGGAGAGATAAAAGGCTCATGATTTGGCAGCAGGGTGCTTTCCACTTCAATTATTTGAGGAAACTAGGAAAACAGCCAAGAAACCTATTTGTAGGTGTAAGCCAAGTGAATGAGGACACAGAGATCGGTCAAATGATTGAGCTACTAAACACTAACGTGATTTCCCCAACTCTACTTCACTAACTCTTTCAAGGTATATGGAAAGTCGTGGAAGATCAGGTTCTACGAAAAGAAGGATTTCGCAGGTCAGGCGGCAGAGTGCGCTGAGGATTGCGCTTCGGTTTACGAGGCCTTCAAGTTCCAGGAAGTCCACTCCTCTGTGGTCACGGATGGTGCGTGGGTCCTCTACGAGCAGCCCAACTACCACGGACACCAGTACTTCCTGGAACGTGGCGAGTACCACAACTACACAGACTGGGGCGCCACCTCCCCTGCTGTGGGATCCTTCCGCAGGATCACAGAATTCTAGAACAGCAGTGACCATGCCCCTAAAAGAGTTATGTGATTGCTAAAGACACCAAAGTTCTAGAAGCATTAAGAAAATCTAGCTCCAGAACATTGAATTCTAGGACCCTCACAAGATTCCAAAGCCCGAAACCAAAATTCCAAATACTTCCAGAGTTCTAAAGCCACTGAAGTTTTGGAATTTTGAGTTAGTTCTAGATCCCTCATGAAATTTAGAGTTCCAGAAGATTCTAGAACTCTTCAGTCTCCCACCTGCATCTCCCATTTGAACATTTGCTTCTTTGCTTCTCCCCAGAACCCTGAGTGTTGGACTCAAATTAATAAAAGTATTTATTACCCAAAACGGTGAAGTCTGTGTTCTTTCTTTCGGCTCCTCAACAGCCTTGAGTCTCGTATTCTCGTGTCCACCAGTACTGTTCAACACAGTCTACATCCCAAGACAGATTGGTGTCAGATCATACTTAACATCGGCAGGAACATGTATTATGCAATAAGAAAACTTTCCAAAACATTAGACGTTGGTAGACATTTTCACGTCAACATATTGCCTGTGAGCCACAAACATTTCTGCACAGGTCCTGATTCAGAGTACTTCACAATGTCATAATTCAGGTCAAAAATATGTTTCAAGTTATTGTTCATCCACAACAGAAATGTGTAGTATGTCTTATATCTGTATTAGTTAAACACATTGTTGCAAATTTAACATATAATATAATAAAAATGACCTATACTCATCATTGTTTACTTGCTTATTATATGTAATTTGACTATTTTAACTATTTACTTTAATTCTTAAGGAATACTATAAACATATTGTTGGCATATTTTTAGTCGCCCAAACAAGTGGTTTTGCATTTATTACAGTGCAAATATTCAAGGATAAATCACTTTATGAATTTGTCCCAGCGATTTTAAAACTTAAAACTTAAATATTTTTTAACCCTAGATGGTGTTTATTGTGTTTATGTAAATGCTCATCTACTGAAGTATATCAATAGCAGAAATAGGTTTCAGATGTACATTTTATGCGCTTAATCAATCATCATCATGCAGTCATGCTAAATACATTTTAAAATAAAATAGTACAAAACACAAGTTCTGTCACAAGCACATGCTACACTACACAAAACACATGTCTACTGTATTGTTTTGGGTTCTTTTGTTTAATTCTTCATTTACAACATTTATTTTTGTTCCAATACGTTAAATAAAACCTAATTAGTTTATGTTATCAGCGTCTGCAGGTTTCACCACTGCAGTTTAATATCGTTATGTTAATGAACTGTGGATTTTTCCTCATAATTCTATCACTTCTGAGTAATAATGTTGCATATTTTGACCAGATAATTATATAAAAAAAAGGATAATAATGATACACTTTATTTGTATAGCGCCTCAAAGTTCATAGCTTACATTAAAGCTTTACATAAAATTGAAAAAAAACATTTATTGCAGCGGTCCGGATTAGTTTGGATCGAGCAGAGACCGAGGTTCAGATACTTGGCACTGCTAAACAACCATTGTGTGTGGAAAGGCAATTCAGTGTGTCAGAACAATGGGCAGACTCTAGATGAATATTTGGATTGTAATAACCAGTACATGCACTGCTAACCATGCATTTGGTAGTATTGTCTCTGCCATGTATAAAGAGTACTGCGTTTTTTACAGCATCTGGTGTTTCTAAGAGCTACAGATGGCGAATGTAAGGACAGCAATGTAAATGTGTGGTTGTAGTCGCAGGAGCTGATCATTTTCTGAATTTGGTGCAAGTAACATAGTCAATGAGGAACACGTTGGAACCCAGATGCGGTCTATAATCCTGTCTGTTCTTTCCAGATTGTGTTTTACGAGGACCGGGACTTCCGTGGAAAGTCCTACGACTGCAAAGGGGACTCGGCTGACCTGCAGGGCTTCATCCACCGATGCAACTCGGTCAAGGTAGAGGGGGGCTGGTGGGTTCTGTACGAGCGCAACAACTACACCGGCTACCAGTATATCATCGGTCCTGGGGAGTACAATGACTACCGCCGCTGGATGGGCTTCAATGACTGTGTCAGATCCTGCAGGATCATCAGGAACGTAAGTGCCATAACAAACAAAAAAACAAGAACATCTAAACACACTTTCTTCCTCGTGAATCATTTCTTTGGCTGTTTTTGGTTTCAGGCCAAAGAGGCGTACAAGCTGAGGCTGTTCGACAGGCCAAACTTTGTCGGTCAATCTTTGGAGTTGACAGAAAACACAAAGTACATCCAGGAGAAATGGCTCGGACAGGAAGTCCAGTCCTGCAAGGTCCTGAAGGGCTCCTGGATCTTCTTCGAACATCCCAACTTCTGTGGTCGCCAGTACCTGCTGGAGAAAGGGGAGTACCGACACCACTCACAGTGGGGAGCTCTGAAATCCACTGTGGGCTCCATCAGAATAATCTTGGAGCTGTAAATGAAACCAGTTAAAGTATCTTGTAATGTGATGTTATGCATTGCAATAAATTTATTTGACCCTTATGTTTGTTGGTGTTCATATGCAGATCAATTTATTGTATACATGTACTGTTTAAATGGAGTGTTGAGTCGACTTTATGGCCATTTTGGAGAATGTAGTTTGTGATGCTGTGGAACTGAATCACGTTACATAGAGAGGTGTTTCAAATATTTAGTTAACCCCTTAATTTATATAAATATTAAAGATAAACGCCTGTAACATTTCTGGTCTCAAATGATATAACTAACTAACTTTAAGTAGAAACACAAGGTCTGTTATGCTTTAGTGAGATCTGAACAATTGCCCTTCCAGGGAGAAAATGATGTTGTAATGAATTGAACACAGTTATATCTCGCCTACAACACATCAATACACAAAGGCAGTACTGGTTTGGGTATATTATTACAATTATAAGTGTAACAAATCTTCAAAAAGCTAAAGGATTCCTGCCACAGCAAGAGCAATGGAGAGATGTATATATACTACTTGTTTATAGGGCTGCAACAAATAATTATTTTGTATTATTGACAAATCTGCCAATTATTCGTTTGGCCTATAAAACATCAGAAAATCCTTGTGCTAAGTTACGTCTTTGCTTCTTTTGACCAACAGTCCAAAACCCAAAGAATACTATGATGTCAGGCAAATCCTCACATTTTAGAAGCTGGATATCAAATATCATAATGTGGTTGAAAAAATATATTTCTCAAAATAGTTGTTGATAAATTTTTTGTGGATTAATCAATCGTCCATTTTTAGTGATGAATCATGCTTTTTGATGGCTGATATAAATACAGAATAATGAGCCGTGGTGGAGGGACGACTCTACTGCATCATCCTCAGTATCAGCTGCAGAAGAGACAATTTAATTAGATCAATAAATCGTTTTCTGGAATCGGGCATTTAGAAGATCTAGAGGTCAGGCGTTGCAATAGTGAGCAAATAATGTATAAAGCATCAGTCATTGTGCACAATGAATGCTGAGGCAATTAAAACAACAATAATGGCTCTGGCATTGAATTCAGTGTGTCCAAATACACTGTTTATTAATCTCAACAAGGCCTGTGTATGTGAAAGGTGAAATTAACAAACAGTCATCAAAAGTTGGTGTGAGGCCCAAACACGGGCCAAGTGGGAAAAGTAGGCAGACTAGCAGATACATCTGTGACCAACAGTCTGCATTATTTGATTTGTTATAAGAAGTCAAAACTCCACCGCACGGCTTCACTCCTTCACACTCAAGTTGTGCATGAAATTCCTCCAGTTAATTGAGTTTTTACACAGACTGTGTCGTCATGAGCTGTGCATTTACACCAAATTTAAGTCAAGTAGATCATATATAAGTTTAGAATATCCACTGAACACCCGCTCTCCTCTTCCAGATCGTGTTTTCTGAAGACAGAAACTTCCAAGCAGAAAAAATGTAAAATATGATCAATCAAGTATGACATAATTTCACTGTTTCTGTAGCGTGACGTTATATCCTTGTAACATAATATGTTACTAGCAGTATGTTCCTATTTGTTGCTGCTAACAGAATCATATTTCTAGAGTAAATATGTTCATATTCATTGCTTTAAGAGATCCTTCCCAGTGGCACAAAATTAGCAGCTGTTTGGGAATTGCCATAATAAACAACACAGTTATGTAAACATGGATGAGACACATTAACAAGATGTTTAGTTGAATTCAATTCAAACAAAGAGCATAAATGTAGGCAGAAAAAAGGGCTCTTTGTTGGTGAGTAGTGTTTGAATATTTGACGGTTCCATAAATATGATGAATACAGGTAACGCCAAGATTTCCACAATAAAAGGTGTCACAAATGCAGGTGCACGTAGTCTTTATGCCACTGTGGTGTGGCCCGAGCCTCAGTTCAGACGGTCCTGCGACTCTCAGCTGATGCAGGAGGGAGGTCACAGAGCTCAGCTAAACCTGCGGACAAAGAGGTGCCGTTTGCTGATGACTCAGTGAGATTTGCCAGTAAGAGCCTGGAGCTCGCCAGCTGCTGTTAGTGCTGACGCTCGGCTCACTGGAACAACGCCGTGACCCCCGACGGCACAAAGGGAGTCCAGCCAGCATGTCCCCCCCCCCCAGCTGCAGTAATTCACCCCTAAAGCCTCTTTGTTTACTGCAACACATGATGCTTTTAGTGGGTGATAGGGGAGGAAAAAAAGTGAGGCAGATTCAGAGGGGGGACACACATCACAGGGAGCCAGTGTGCACCCTCTAGTGGAGGATGTTTGGAGGTGCAGACCAGATAGTTTTGTGTACTTTTGGTCCGCGGCTGTTTGATTTGGACTCGGCCATTCAGTTTCAGTTAACAGCGTGCAGTTACATTTAAGGCAACAGTGTGCTCACAACGCCCCCGTTCACAAAGCCAAGTCCGTAAAGATAATTGTTTGGTTTGGAAGAACTTGACGGGCCTGCATAGACAGCCATGATGAACTGGGGGTCACCGACTGTGAGCCAGACCTGGTCCCCCAACATCAGTGTTGGAACTCATGAATGCTTGTGGATGAACGTGGGAGCAAATCGTTGCAGCAATGAAGTTTCATTCATGTGTTTGTGCACTAAAGGTGTCAGGTTTCCACATCATACTTGTGAATGTTGCGTACTGGACCACAATCGGCTTCCAAACTAGTTGTAATATTTCAAATAGGTCGAGTGGTAAACAGAGATTTAAGGTGAGCTCAGAGAAACTTTCCATGCTTTCCAAAACATCCTTCAAGTATCAAACTCTACTCATCCGTCAGTCTGCAGCTGAAACATCCAAGTGAAGTAACAACAAGCAAAATGCTTTAGAGTTTTCCTGTTGGATGCAGGATCGTCTTTAAGATGATTAATACGTACGGACGTAAAGAGGAGAGAACGTCAATATTGATGAAGCTGTGGAATCAATAAGTCATTTAGTTACAGGATGCTCCAGGATAAACATATTGGAATATTGACATGTTGAATACATGCACTGCTTTTCAATATCAATATTTTCAATATCAATACGCAGTTTGGTTTTTCCTACTATCTTAAGATATAGATTGGGGTTTTTCATCTGTAATAAGGTCGTCTAATTATTGATCTTATGTGATCTCCTGCTGTCTTGTTTGTGCCCTAAAAAAAAGCAGATTTATTGATTTATGGCTGCAGGATTTAGCTCATGTTTAGTCTTCCAATACATAGTATCATCTCTATCATGCAGATGTTTTCTGATTCTTTTTTAAGTTGCATGAACAAAATCCTCAGTTAACACGTTACAGAGTCCTCAAAACGTGCCCCCCCCCCCCTCGAGCCCCACGTTTCCTCCAGTTTAGTTATTTATAACTTCGTCTCAGCAGCTGAAAAGGAACTAAGTTAATCCCGGGAAAAGAATGCTGTTTCTGGCTGCAAAGGTTACCTTGTATGGCAAGAAGGGGGAGATGGGAGAAGGGAGAATTACTCTAATGCAGTAATAAGAGAGAGCGAGTGGGGAGGAGAGATAGGGACATAAGACAGAGGGTCAAATACATTCAACAAAATCTACGGCAGGGATAAAAATAGCAGAGAGAAAGCAGATACATCTTTGTCTGCAGCATTGTCCTTTATAACAGCTTTTTATCGGAGTAATATTCACCGTGACACACACATTTCCTAGAAATGTCTCCCGGCAAAATGGATTGTTCAATAAAGTGATTGTTATCAATTAAAAATATTGATATCTATGTTTATTATTGTTATTCTAATATGACGATTACTGATGTAGTGCAGACAGCTGATGAAAGGATGCGATGTGACACCACAGCCTGTTGGAAGCACACAGTTTCACCTGGAGCTGATTTGGGATGAAAGCAGCCACGAGTTCCACTCCAGCTTCACGTACAAGCTCTTTGATCGGCACTAAAAACACTATTATCAACGTAGCAATATTGTTTGTGGTCAGAGGCTCATCTGAGACTGTGAGAAAGTCTCTTTCTCACAAATAGAACTTTGATCATCGATCCGACAAAGTCAGTTATAAGAATAGTAGTTGACTGTTTGGTTTGGCTCTTTACTCCAAGACATGACATTACATACCATTTCTTTATAAAATGATACAAAAGTAGGCTAAAATCTGGAGTGCATGCAGCTGAACCAGCCTCATCAGATCCAGGAGGTTGAGCCTCTCATCCAGAGAGAGATAACGACTGAGATGAATCTGCTTTCGGCCTCTTGTCACCCTCTTGTCCTCCGAGGAGACCCACTGCAGAGAGGTCATGTTCCTGTGATGTGGCTCCCTGCCCACCACACCCTCATTTGGCAAATACTCTCACTGCATCATCCACACACCTGACACTCAAACACACACACACACACACACACACATACATACGGACCTGCTGGGACGTTAATTTGGACCTGAGGATGATGCAGGGAAAGCACCCCATTGTGCTGGAGCCAACAACGGGATGTTATGACGAGTTCTTTAATTCTGTGCATCTGTTTCCTCCATATTATTTATCATTTCGTATTCTCATTGCTAGCTATCAATAGAAGGATAGTGTATGGCAGGATTGGCAGTCATTAAATATCATACATTATTTTTACGATGCTAACACTATCTTCATACCCCTTCAGTCCATCTCTTGTGCTACTGTAACACCTGGGTGTCAGGGTGCGATGGCACAGCATAAAAACAGAAGCAAAATGACAAGATGAGAAGAAAAATATTAAAAAACTTGCACAATTCACATGTAGAACAATAAACAAATTTACTTTAAAATGGAGAAAGCATGCATATCCAAACAATTACAATATAATTCAAATAATTACAATAATACACACTTAGTTTACGTATACCTGTACACATTAATTTCAAATGTGTTTCATTTTAAATATTTCTGGTAATATATTATAATTTTATAGAAAGTAATATATATATAATGTTAGATATATTACTAATATTATACTAACAATAATGATTCTTAATCATTTCCTGTTTTCAAAATAAAGGTAAAGCTCCAAAGACCCAGATGTGAAACAAACAAACCCATGGAGTAGA